ATAGGGCTGGGAAGGGACGCCAGGGTCCAGGCACCCATCCCGAGCGGTGACAGCCGCGGGCACAGCCACGCAGCTTTGCAGAGCGCTGTGGTGAAACGGGCGCAGGCGGCTCCACTCGCCCGGCAGCTTTCTGGGGCAACTGCACACTTCCACTTCTCTGGGCTCAGGGCGGCCTGGATGTCCTTAATTGCCCAAAGGTCGGCATCCCCGAGCCTGGGGCCACGTGTCGGAGGGACCCCGGGCAGGAACCTGACACGGACTCGAGTCATTCGGGATCAACGCTGGGGGCCAGGAAATTGCAACAGACACGAACCTAAATATGCCGCGCGTCCCCCCAGGTAATCAGGGGCCGGGCCAGATTCCGGCTGACAGCTTAAATGCCTTAATTCCTCGGCTGCTGTCATTTGAGGGGGTCCCATGTGCCGTGGGCTTCTCCCAAACGGTCTCTGAGCTGGAGATTTGTCTGTAATTGGAGGCATGTTGCATTCCCCTGAAAGTAGCCAGGTCCCACTGGATGGGGGCTGTGGGAAGGCAGCAATTTCCCTTATGGAATTATTTACCTGATTAGAGAGTTTATTTTATCAAAATTGCTTCAGAATGGGGCCGCTCGGTGTGTCCAGCACGGGGAGCTCCCCGGTGGGGCCGGTGGCCTGGAGACAGGTAATTTGTGTGGTTAATGGGACTAATCCACCAGGCAATTACACCAATAGATTTCACGGCTGCAAAGTGCTCTGTTCCCATTAATTAAAAATCTGTTAAGAAGATTAGCACGTGAAGGTATCAAAAGAAACCCAAGAGTTTCTTTCCCCACCGGCCCCCGAAGGCGAGTGTGGGAGTACTGGATTGCTCACATTAGCACAAAAATTATTCTTTTAAAGGTAAGGGCTTCGCATCCAAAGTAACTGCTGACAGTTTTCCCCGACTTCCCTACCAAGAGGTCCTTTATGTTTAATTATAGTTTGTTTAAATTAGCCCTGATTGTTCGCGTGGAGTGTTAGTTTAAATACATTTGGAACGCGTGGTTCCCCTGTGCCCCGCCAAGGAGGGCAGGCAGCGCGAGGAGGGCAGCCTGCGGCCGAGCCCTGCGCCCCGGCAGGCGCCCCTGCTGCAGGGCTGGTGCCTGGGGCCGCTCGGGAGCAGATGGGGGTCCGGGGGGTCCGAACTCAGCATCCCCTGGTTGAGACGGTCACGCCGGAGCAGGGGCTGGGGATGGCAGGAGCTGGGGATGGCGGTACCCGCCATCGGCAGGGGCTCAGCCTCTCCCCCCCCCGCGCGCGTGGGTCTGCCCGCCCCCCGCCAGTGGCTTCTCCGCCAGCAGGAGCCCTGCGCCATCACCACCTGCACCCCACGGTGCCCGCTCCCGTCCCCACGCTGCCGCCGCCGGCCCGGCACTGCTCAGCCTCGCGCTCGGCCACTGGTGCCACTCCTGGCCTTTGTCCACAGCCAGACACTGAGCAAAACAAAAGCAAATTCCCCGGCAGCTGAAGGTGCCATTTTTACGGCTGGGCTGAACAAGGAAGTATTTTTTGATCTCTTAAAAATCCTGAATATTATCTGACAGTTTATCTTGTTTCTCCGCATCCGTGTCTTTGCAGCAACGCCAGCTCATTTACATGTGTATTGCGCCTGCCTCCACGGGTGCTGAGGTCAATTGAAACTCAAGAAAAGAGGAGAAATTTATGCAAAACTGTTGATTGCATTTGTATGTAATGAAATCATCCAATATTCATCTGACTATAGACTCTAATCTGAAAGGAGAAGTGAAGGACATAAGAGTCACTGGAAAGCAATAATGAGCTTCTGTAGTGATTAAAAAAGCACTTGAGCTTTCTGAAAATCCAGCCAGAAATCGTGTCTAATCAACACGGAATATAGGAGGCAGAGATTACATTGATACATTTTGCAAAGCTCACTGTTGAAAATGTATGCGAGCTGTAAACTCTGACATGCCATCCATGGTCTGTTTTATACAAATCCGGGCGGCACACAATCAGCGCCCGGGCTCGTCCCTGGCACAAAGCAATCTTGGTGTCTCTGCTCGATGACTCACAAGGAGCGCAATCACATCTATTTTGAAGAGCAATGTTGGTTTTTAACTATGTCGAGAGCTTCCAGCTTCCTTGGAGTTTTTCCTTCCTTTCGCCACTGCTTCGTGTTTCCCGTGGCCGCGGGGCTCAGCCCGGGAGGTGATGGGAGGCTGGTGCCTGCCCCGGGTCCCTGCCACGACCCCCTTGGTGCGCCTGCCCTGGCTCTGCGGCTCGGAGCAAACCGAAGCGTCCTGGGGGAGCCGAGCGCGGCTGCCCGGGCAGCCCCAGCGAAGGGCGCGGGTCTCTGCCTGGGCTGCGGTAAGCGGGGATGCGCACAGGGGCACCGTGCATGCTGGGGCTGCAGCCCCCTCAGGGATCACCGACCCACCAGGCCACGGCAGTGCTTGCCGGGCAGGAACCCACCGGTGCCCTGAATCCACGTGCTGTTGGGAAAGGGCTCCCAGCGAGCGCGGCAGGGTGCAGAGAGCCCAGGCCGCAGCTCAAGGGGGTCCAGCCACGGCCCTCCCTCGCCCCTGCGCTCTGCCCCACGCCACCCGGCGACATTTGCTGCTGAGGCCAAACTGTTTGGTGGCTGAAGCGGCATCGCTGACATCAGATCCATGTTTCACCCCGCCCAACCATTTTCTGGCTCAGGATCGCTTTCCCTCCTGGGTTATTTGGCGCAGCTGGAGCTCCTTCCCCACCCGCCAACAGCATCAGCTGCAGCTTCTTATCAGCTCTGGGTGCAATCCAGGCTGGAGCCAAGTGAGAGGGTCCTGCTGATGGGAGAGGGGGGGGGGGTTTGATGGTAGAGGAGGAGGAGGTTTTTGGAGCAGGCAGGCCTTGTGCTGCAGCTCCTGGTGTGGGGCACCAGACCAGCAGATGATTTGTACAGCAAAAGTGCGACCTCCCCAGAGCCACCCGTGTGCCAGCCGGCCGCGGTCACAGTAAGCACAGTGAGTGTCTGTCCTCTCTTCTCCTGGGTGGTTTACAGTGGCCCTCAGTGGCCCCTGTGCAGTGGTTGTGGCAGGTGGGGGGTGGTGCCTGGGGCCAGCATGCTGCCATGCATTTGGCCACGTGTGGTGGGTGCTTCTGTGGTCCTGTGTGGCTGGCAGGGGCCAGGGCTGCAGCTGGTGCTTTTGTCTGCCCATCCCATGGGGGAATGGAAGGGTGAGAGCAGGATGGGCCGTGGTGGCACGGCTCCGTGGGCTCACGTGCTGCTGGTACCGGGGGTGAGAGCAGGATGGGGCCGTGGTGGCACGGCTCCGTGGGGTCACGTGCTGCCGGTACCGGGGGTGAGAGCAGGATGGGCTGTGGCGGCACGGCTCTGTGGCTCATGTGCTGCCGGTACCGGGGGTGAGAGCAGGATGGGCCGTGGTGGCACGGCTCTGTCGGCTCACATGCTGCCTGCGCTGCTTTGCTGGTACTGGGGGTGAGAGCAGTGGGTGCTACACCTGCTCCTGGCTGATGCAGAGCACGGTGGGTGAGGTGAGGATGCAGATGGACCCCCCAAACCCTCCCCTGCCGCAGGGCCATCAGCTACGGTCGCTCGGAGAACAGGTCTCTGCCTTTCTTGAAATTTAAAAGCTATTTTTGCCCCTGGCTTTGCCTCACCAGCGTGGCCAGCCCTGGACCTCCTCCCACTGCCTCCCGACGGCGCTGGGGACAGGCAGCTCCATCCCCAGCCCAGCGCTGGTGCAGTTTTACTGCTAGGTTTTAATTCATGTGAGGCAGAGTGCGATGCTACAGGATAAGGAATATCTGTAAATACTTGAGAAATTCCTCAAACCCTTCAAGCCCAGGCTGCTGCTGGGATGCCGAGGTTGCGACAACAGCAAAAAAAGCCTAGTTGATAAATGTCAAAAGAAATACAGTAATCAGCTGAAAGCAATTTACCGGGCCATGTAACCGCCCTGGGCTCACCATTTTCCTTTATTCATTTATCATGGTAAGCGCTTTGGCCAAAATACACAAAGCAGAGAAATTGTTGACATGTGGGGCCCTAGCAGAGCAAATCCTTCATCCTTCTCCCCCTCCCCACTGCGCACAAACTAACTTTTTGGGAGTTGTTTATTTAAGGACTGCAGAGCACTTGGTGCTCTTTGAACCCAAACGCTTTGGGAGCGGGGCTGGCCACCACCTTCCCTCCTCTTGCCATCGCCCCAGGCTGCGGGGAGGCTGTTTGCTGCTATGGGGAAGTACCTGCTGGTAGCGAGGTGGTGAGCTGCGCGATGTGCTCAGGACCCCCTTCTGCTTCTATCTATCTCCTCCACCCCCTAAAATGTGGTACTGGTGGCTCGCATGGACATGCTGTAACCAGTCAGGGAGGTCAGATGCTGGTTTTGGAAAGTTCCTGTGTTGGCTCTTGGTATTCTTGGTCCTGGCTGAAACAGCCACACCAGCAGCACCGGTTTCAGTTCTGTGTCCATGAAGCCTAGGGAGCCACAAAGCCCATCTCCCCTGCCCACCCTGCGCCAGTCGGCGTTGAGCTCCCTCGTGCCTTCCTGGTGGCCAAGCTGCAGGTAACTGCTGGCCACGGCAACAGGCAAACGCTTCTTCTGAGACGCGTGAACCCAAGGGGACACACCAACTGGGAACTGGCTGTCCCAAGGCTGCTCCTCCACATCTCGCTTTTGACTTTATTTTAAGCAAAAATAAATGCCGAGGTTCACAGCAGGACAGCGCGGGTTTCTCCTGTGCGTGGTCCTTGCTTCTGCCAGGCTGCGAGGTGCTGGGATACAAACGGGCCGGGGCGCAAGGCGAGCGGGGCAGCCTTTCCTCCTGCGCCTCAGCGTCTGTGCGGGAGCCCTTCCAGCAGCCTCCAGCCCTCCTTCCTGCTATTTTATTTTTAATCTTACTTCCCCCAGTTCTGTTGCGACCTGGATGAAGAAGAGCGAGGAGAGCTCCCCCTCCCTCCAGCACAATCCAAGGTGGGGAGTCAGAGCAGCCAAAGCACCGAGCTGCTCCGGAGCTCTGGCAGAGCTGCCCCTGCTCATCGCCTGAGGCCGCTGACTCCGGGCAGGATGGCCACTGGGGTGCACGGCAGTCCGCTCCTGCTCGAGGGGGGAGTGTGTCCGTAGGGACGGCGCTTATCCAAGCAGCTCCTTGGTCTTCGCTGCCAGCAGCTTGTCCATATCTGCTGCAGCGCTGTCCGCCATTTGCTGGATCTGCAGCAACACAGCACAAGTCTAAGTGGCACGCTAGGTGATGCCAGAGTTAAAAGGGAAAGGAAGGACTGGATCACTTCCTGAAACAAAGCCTAAAGTCCTAATAAAACCCAAAATAGTGCCGAGGCAATAACTGACTTTTCCTGGTGGCTCCCACCAGCCCTCAGTGCTTCTGTGCCAGTGTTGCATCTGTAGAGTGAGAACATGGACTGATCAAAGGCTCTGAAAAGGGATGCACAACACAAACTCTTGGCTAAGCTTCCTAAGTTACTTGGTCAGGTCCTTATTTAACAGAGCTGCTTCAGGCAGAGTCGGAGACCTGCGGGTGTCAGCACCAGAGAATAGAGGGCTTCTCTCACTACCTCCTGCAGCATTTCCACTGTTAGAACAAACTAGGTAATAGCAGGAGCGCAGCCTTAGTACATGCTAAGAATTCACGCATCAAGTAACAGATCTGTTTATTTCTTGTAAAAAGAAATAAATGGCTATTGTTAAAGGCCTGCCCAGGGATCAGGTCTCCTGGTAACACAGGATGGACATAGCAAGCACGTAAACAGGACCAAAATCTGCCTGCACGTATTTGAGTGCATGCAGATAAAGGCTGGAGCACGTTGCAGGGGGGTTTATGCACTAGTTCTACAAGACTGATTGAGATGTACTTGCTCCCAAGGTTGAAGGTATATGATGATGACCTTTCCTCATGCTGAAAAATTTGGGTACAAGCAAAAATTAGACTTGAGACGCTACCTCTACAAATGCAGAAAACCATCTGTCTGCTCTGGGAGAACTGCTTCCCAACAGGATTCAGTTACAATAGCATGGCCATTTTTCCTGCTTGCACAAATGCTCTGTATATCAATGTTTATTTTTGTGAGCACACAGAGAACTGTCCCGAAGCATTTGCAATGTATCTAACTTTAGCTGTTAATAAACAAACAGCTAAAAAGTAATGGCCTGCCTTCAGAGGCATCAATTCAGCAAAACACTTAGGCTTGTGCCTGAATTTATGCCCAAGTAATTGACTTTAGTGACATCTGCTCTTAGGGAATTAGGCATGTGCTTAAGTATTTTCCTGAATTGGAGCCAAAAAACTTCTAACAGAGATAATCTTGCTAGCCTTTTCATTAATAACAAACTGGAGCAATCTTCATTAACACCAGCTGTTTTGCAGTGGCCAGGCACTGTGTAAATGGTGGTAAAGCTATGGACATGGGTTGTTTGCTCCCCAAGCTCAGCTGGTTTGTGCAACAATCCCTCCTAGTACGAAAGCTTTCGGGGAACGTTTTTTTCTTCCCTGTGTCAGCTTACAATGGTTCATATCATAAATTTGGCTTTGAGATTGAAGCCCCAAATCTCACAAAGAACGGGCAAATACAACAGCCATTGCTGACTCCAAAAATTCAGCACAGGGCCACCCATTCCCCGGTTCGGTTCTCAGTGCTGGAGATTTGTCAGCAAGGGCTGGGACAAACGCACCACTGAGCTGTGAAACAGCATGATATGGCAAAAGGAAAAAAAAATTACCTGCTTTTCTAGCAACCAGAGGGTATCTTCAGACACTTTGTTCTTGAACTTCTTCACCTGGTTGACGCTTTTGCTTCGCACCTTTCTCAGGGCCTCTTTGGACTTGTTGGTGGACTGCTTGGCAAGCTTGGCCAGGCTCTCCCTGTGCTCCCTCGTTACCCTGCAGCGAGGGGAAAGAATAAACATCAAAAGGAAAAAAAAGTCATATGTAGCACAGCCAGATTTATTTTCTGTGATGGACTTCGGGTAAATGCAGCGATGCTCTCCGCTGTGGTACCTCTCTGACTGGGAGAGACAGAGCTGCCATGCAGCACCAAGCCGGGCTGCGCAGGGACACCCAAACGCAGCCGGTGTTGAGATAGAGCTCGCTCTGCCTGGAGGCCCTGTGTCACAAGGGCAGAGGGACTTAACGGCTCGGGCGTGTTTTTATCCTGCTTTGGTCCACCTAAGCGAATCAACCACCTCTGTGCAGTGTCACCAGGGCAGCAGACCCCAGTGAAGCAAGTCTTGAGCCTAGAACGGAAAGTTCCCAGCACAGCCCTAAGCTGAGGGACTTGGACTGAACCCTACTTGTTTTATAGTTGTCACTGCAGTGCCTGAAAGTCATGGTGAAATGTTCAGACTTTCCTTTTTTCTGCTGCCAAAGCATCTGCAGGAAAGAGGGAAAATCCAGCTCCAGACCTGAGAGACAGAGCTGAAAAGCGTAATCCTGCAAAGCCGGAAGGAAACCTCCGTCCCTTCCCGAAACTCGGTATCGTCTCCCTGCAGCTGAGGAGCCTGAATTACATATCTGGGAGCTACAGAGCTTATGTTGTGTGCTCAACCTTGTTCCGGCTCATCACGACCAGGCTTTTCCACCAAGGTGACATGAACGCCCGGTTTGACAAGAGGATGTTGCTAGACATGGCTAGCCACAGGTACCTCGGCCCAGGAGAACGTCAGCTCCACCTTCCCCCTGACGTGGGGCCAGTTACTGCTGTGGTGCCACAAGAAAATCCTCAACTTTCCATCCCGAACTAATAACTGCAGTTGATAAGGGAGTCTGGCCATCTGAATAAGGCATAGGAATGGCTGACGTGTCACCTCTGCTCCAGCACCTACAGCTGATCACTGTCAACATCAACTGCTAGTGCTTAACAATAATATTTTAATTATTTTCATGGCGATTGATGTTTCCAGACTGCCTTGAGAATGAAAAACCCTGGTGCACTCACTGAGACTCGCCAGCAAGAGAGCGTACGTCTGCTCGCAGAAGATATTGCAAAATAAACATTTCACGGGAGTATTTAGAAATTGGCTGCAACAGCCTGGGTCACCAAAACACTGAGGCCAAGATTCCTCCTGCAGAGAGCTCAGGAAACGTGGGGTGAGGGCTCCCGGGGCAGTGCCAGCTCTGCCCCTGCCCGGGCGTGCGTTACGGGGAGGCTGTCGGGGTACGATCGCACCCTCGGCCCTTCCCGAGCTCGTGCTCAGCCCAGCAAGCCGCACACGTGCCAATACCCTCCCCCGGCAGCCAGGTCGCTCGCAGCAGATGTCTGCAGAGGCACTGGCCTCTCGCCAGTTATCTTTATTTCATGGTGCAAGAGGGAATAGGCTTCCCAGAACCGATTAGTAACTACAGGAATTTGGGATCGCTAGAAAAGCTAACAGACCTAGAGAGCAGCGACCCAGCCCCAGCATCTGCGGTGCCCCTCGCCGGCATGCTGCCCTCACCTGGGGGCAGCCCGCGGGCAGCGGCTCGGACCCCCCAGCCCGTCCCGCTCCCTGCTGAGGGACAGCTGGAGGAAGATGGCCAGTGAATTTCACATGTGGCGAGAGGCTTCTGGTCAGCGCAGGCTTGAGCCTGGACCAGACGGCTAATTAAAAGTGAGTGGGGTTGCTTGTGGTTTCCTCCGCATCCCAACATCAATGCCTTTAGGGCTTCTCGTGTTCGAGCTCCCCAGCCAGAGGTCCCACGGCACATGCGAAACCAGCAAAGCCGGATCACAAACAGAGGTCCGGGTGAGGTCAGATTCTCAGGCAGCTTTTGGGGGGGGGGGGCCAATTTTCCGGGCACTTTTGGGGGGGGGGGGAGTCAATCCCGGCTGCTAAACTTGGAGGAGGGAGCTGGAAATCTCTCCCATCTCCTGCTGGGTGGCGAGGCGCGTCGGTCCGCAGCAGGGCTGCCTCAGCTGTGGGAGACGGAGCTTGCCGTCAGCGATTCGCCTCCCTGCTCCTGCTCGGCTTTTGCAAGTTGTGCCGAGGGTATCACTCGCCTGCTTGGGGCTGCTGAGCCTTTAAGGAAATGTTTTTGTTTATGCAGCGCTGCCAGATTTCCTATGCTTCTTGGCACGGGGTCACAGCTTTCATGCCTCCTTGTCTGTCTTTATTAACACCAATTTCTTTTTATCACTGCGCAGCGCTGTGGAGTTTCTCAGCGGGTTTTATGTTCCAGCCAGACTGTGTGTAAATTCTCAGCAATGCTACCAACAATGCCAGAAACGGACGCTTTTTCAAGCAGATGCTGTTTCTGGTTAAGGAATCCATCAACACGAGCCAGACCCATGGTTTCTAAGGACAGTTGTTTAATCCTGCCCCCAGACCTGCGACTTTTAAGCTGTTCTTAGATATGTTTTCTTTTCTGTCTAGTAACTGTTGCCCCTACTCCCTCTTTAAAGCCAAAAAAAGCGTGAAGTGAACCTGGGGAAGGGATGCCAGAAGTAGGGAACAAGGACAAGGTCCCCATCTGTCACCCCTGCCCCTCTGCCCTGGGGAAACGCCGCCCTCCCCTGCAGCTTAAGGAGCAGCGGGCTCAAATCCTGCCGTTCCCCCGGGACGGTCCGGCCCTGCCAGGATCCGGACAGAGCCTGGGGACGGACAGAGCCTGGGGACGGACGTGCCAGGGCGTTCAGAAACACACACCGCCCCATGGGTAACATCTCCTCTTTCTCTGCTTCCCCCAGCAACCAGTGGTTCAAGCACTGCAACCCCTGGATGCTCCTCTCCCCGCGTACGGCAGGAGCAGACCCACAGCGAGCACGACGCAGGCCACGTCTCGTCTCCAACGCAAGACGTTTATGCGGGTAAGAGTAATTTCTGTATCTCAAATGCTAGGAATTTCCTGTGAACGAGAGGGATCAGTTAAAGGAAAGTAGGGTTAACTAGATACTCTGCATGCATAATTGCAGATAAACACAGGGTGCAATATATATTGCTCAACAAAAAGCACGCAAGAGATTTCTGATGATGAGCGATCCAGAGAAACACAGCTCAGAAACAGCTTTGGTTTTTTTCAAATCGATTTTTTGGAGTCCTTTCTCCCCATAGTAGGTATCTCTGCATATTTCTTAAAGGGCAAAGGAAAAAAAGCTCACAATGAGTCATTAAGCTTTCAAATGAGTCATCTGGCTTTCAGTAAAGCATGTGTAAAAATATTACTAATTTACAAACAATATCCAGTGTAACACAATGGGTCCAAAAAAGATGAATCTAAAAATGAGGCAATACCATAAAAGACACAAGGTCAGGTCAAATTCGGCCAAGAGATCAACCAATACAAATGTTCCCATGGCTGGTTTTCTTTTTTTTTTTTTTTTCCTTTTTAAACCCTCAGAGAATACTTTTTTATACAAATAAATATTGCCTATGCAACACAAACAGGCGAATGCCTTAGGGAGCAGAGGGGATCCTAGCAGGAAGCAGAAGTAAACACGAAAGAAACGAGTGTACTTTTTCTGTTAAAACTGCAATGCAAAAACTAAACTAACAGAATAACTACTGAAAAGTAAACCCCATTTTAAAATACTCAGTTGAAACACTCTCAAGCACTGAAGCATAGCTGGAGCTGCATAAGGCAAAATATGACATGTGTGTGTCCAGCTGATAGGTCAGACTAAAAAGTGTTTTTAATAACAGGCAAGGACAATTCCGGTCTGATTTTACTTTTACTGTGCCTCCCCTCATGAAAGAACCAATTTCTGCAGAAACAATATTCTCTTCATTTCTGATCTGTTTGCTCATTTTGCCACCTGCCATCATTTCGGCGATTTCACTGCGTCTGTCTGTCACACATTCTTTCATAAACATCTTTAGAGTTGGGAAAATGAAAAACTTAGAAAATTAAAAGAAGTAATTCAGGGATATAATAGTAAGGAGAGGCCTCTAGCAGAATTTGATCATTTCCGCCCCCCTTTGCATTAGGTTTATAAGGTTGAAACTGTCTGCGTGTCTTTTGGATAAGTGGATGAAACTCTGAAAGACCCAGTCGTCTTACTAAAGAGTGGGTGAGAAAACAGGACTGGAGGTGGCCGTGAGGGCAGGCCTGCGGGGCCACCACGTCTCCCAAGCAGAAAACCTCTCTAACTGGAGACTCCTGGGCTGCCAACCCGCCAGGGAGAACGGGGCCAGCAGCAGCAGCCCTCGCACACCAGCGGAACAGGGGAGCACCCCAGCCAGGCCAGGCAGACCTTCCCTGGGGAGAGAAGACTCTTCTCGCTCTGCAGCACCACAAAAGATAGTGACAGACCGTACACGTTTGTTTAAAAAACAGTATTTTTTTAAAGATTGGGATTTGCAGTTTTGGAGTTTCCTCCCCTGCAATTCATATTCAAGGATGACCCAAGTGCCCATTAACAATCAAACCACTGTGCAGCAACCCGGGAGCCTCAGCAATTATGAAGATAATGGTGCCCTCCTCCTCCTCCTCTGCCTCCTCTCCTGAGGAATGGGGGAAGGGCAGGGAGCATGGGGAAAAGAAAATCAGCAAATAGAATGATAATGTCATTCCCTCTCACCAACGGCAACGGAAAGCTGCAATTAGACTTCTCTGATCAAAATGCTAGATAAAATTCCATAGAATTTTTAAAGTAGATCTAAAGCACGAGAAACACTTGGTTCATCTTTACGGAGAAGTCACCTGCTTGTAAAACGCAGCGCACGTGCAAGGCGTTTGTGCGCACAGGCGGTGTACGGAGCCGTCTTTACCCTTTGCGGGAGCCGTTCCCAGCATCCCAGCACCACGTAACCCCAGGGCGTGAGATCAGGTACCTCCGCATCTGCCCAGGGTGTTTAGACAGCTCCATCGCTGCAGGGTCCGAGCACCCACAGGAACTCGTGAATTTTCCTTGCACCACCCGAGCCCGGGCAGAGCAGAGCTACTGCCCGTTACAGGCTTTGTCTACGCTGGAGAGTTGTGCAGCACAGTGCGAGCGGAGCTGCTGGGAGGTCTCGCTCCACACAAGGTTCAGCCTGGTCCCAGGGACCCAACACGTGTACGCAGTGGGGGAGCTCCTGGTGCACCCCCAGAGGGTACCTCTCTATTTAGTTTCATCTGAAAGGAATCCCGTTCACAGACCCCAGCATGCTGCAGCCCAAAGCACGCTAGGCGGGGATCACCAGGATCGCTTCAAAAGCGCTCTCCTGACCGCAACTGAAGCACTGATGCAGTGGCACCTCCTGCCTTGTCCAAGGGCTGGGAGACACCCATGATGGGTGAGGGAAGCGATGCTCAGTCCTCGGCCAGGAGCAGCCTGCTTTTCTATCAGCCCTATATGAGAGTTTCCATGCAGCCGTCAGTTACACGATGCGTATTACATGAGAAGAGGGAGTGGATTTTTTAGCCAAAGCCATCAATTTCCTCCCTCTTTCTTTCATCGCTTCCTTTTAGTGCTCTCTGCAGCAAGGTGCTATTCGCCCCTAACACTACTGGTTGGCTACTGCGTTACTGCTGCTCCACGCTGGCGTAACTCAAGAAATTTACAGCAGGGCAGCAAAGAATCAGCCCCTGAATTAAGGCAATACAGCTTCAAAAGCCTTTGGCTGTCTCTTGCAAAGTGCTGCAGCCAGCTAGGACCAACTTTCCTCTGCAGGGGGAAGATAAAGAACAATAAGACCAACCACCAGATGCCAAAATGTGGTGACTTAGAGCTCAGACACTTGGAAGAGCTTCCACCAGATGCTTTTAGGGGCTCAGATTTTTTTCTGAACCTGAAATACAGCTATTTGGAAAGCAGCTGCATCACAACATTACAGCAGCCGTGCACGGTTACCCTCTGAAGGGCACTCACTGCAACGCGTTGCGTTATCTTGCATGATGATGAACTCAGGCAGCCATCAATACTCACTTAGGAATTGGCACCCGGATTATTGTCCCATCCACTTCTGGGTTCAGGTTCATGCCACTCTCCCTTATAGCCTTCGTAGCTGCAGCTGTGCTCTGTAAAACAGATCAAAAGGTAAAGGGAATTAGGAAATAATCATTCCCATATGCCAGAACTCTGTCAATAGTTGGCAATCCATCTCCACGGAACATGGAAACATTTACTTCTGTTACCAGTAAGATCAGGAAGTTACATTGGTGCGGAGAGCTTTGATCAAACCGAATGGGAAACTATGGCCGCGCTCGGCGTCGGGGTAGGGGGGCACGAAGGGGGGCAGGGGGAAGGGAAGCAACAACAAAAGAAAACTGTTTTGCTTCTTTGAAACTATTTGAATGGTTTGAGGCAACGCAGAGTGAAACCGCAATAAATTCCCAAGGCATAGCCTGACTGTGGCGAAGGAGATGAAAGATTCTGAGCATTTAAAAATTCCAGTTGAATGTTTCCCACTAGAAATCACACAGTGCCAATTTAGAAACGTTAACTGACTTAACCACTTCAGCACTACAGCCTAACCACATTACATCAGGGCAGTAGCAGTTGGCTGAGAAATAGCACCTGTGCCCAGGTCTATGTTTATTTTACAGCTTATTAGTTAGGATTAACTTCTCAAAACTCCACCACCGCTGGCTGACACGCTGCTCTGCTTAAAAGGTGGGGTGCACAGGTTTGCCTGGTACCTGCAAAGCGATTAAAAGGCTTCCTTCCCCATCCCAGGGCGCTGGTGTGCCTTTACAGAGTGTCAGGCTTTACGGTTAAATCAGAGTTTTGCCGGGAGCCCCGCAGTGCTCTGCCAGGTTGCTTCATTCTTGACATTGACAGCAACAAGACCGAGCGAGTCTGTATTCTTGTGGCACTCGCGTGGCTCTTCCTACAAGGCGCGTTGCTATTTCTGATCCTCTTTCCCGTCATTAACTTTAGCTCCAGGCTGCTGCGGCAGACTGTATTTATGAAGTTCAGCTTTTGTCAACTGAGGCACAAACTAAAGCTCTGCGCATTTGTTTAGGTCTCCGACACGTGAGGTCGCTGAATGAACTGAATGCTCTGCTAGTGTTTTGTAAGACATAGCTGCTGTCCTCTAGAACACAACAAGGGCAGAGAAAATGTAGCTGAGATGATCTCAGCACATTAGGAATGTAAACGTGTTATTCTATGGACAGTGCTTGCTCTGTAGGAAGGAAATGCTCAATAAAAGCTGTGTTGTTTAATGTATATATTGGAGGAGACAGAGGAAGGGGAAAATACTGCAGTATTGCCCCCATTCTCTTGCAGCCCACGAAATAAATAGCCGTGCTTCAAAAACATACTCTTGTTTGGTTTTATAGCTCTCGGGCAAACAGAATTTGGCCCTGCAAGTCCTTTTCTGTGATTATTTTCTTTCCCAGACTCTTCAGGCATTTTTATTTGCTTTTCAATGCCATGAAGTACCAACTATATGCTGTAAATGATGACATCAAGTAAACGTGTCTGTAATGGTTTTAAAGAGTTCAATCTCTCCATGGAACAGTTACGGTATAGAACAACTCCATCAAAAGAAATAGTTCTAGCTCTAGTTCTAATGAAAAATGGTCCTTTGGCTTAGAAAGCAAACGTGGGCAATGCTATATAGTGCAATATTTCATTTCTCACATGCCCATTTCTCAGCCTGAGCTCCTGCCCGGACACGGGCTAAGTCATGGAGTGACTTCCCTGGCCCTCTCAGCATCAGCACCCCGAGGGACCGTGGTGCGCTCGCCGATAAGGGGCCTGCCTTCTTCAAAGCCATTATACGTGCTGGATACGCTTTCAGAAACACTTAGGCATCAAGTGCCTTACACTGACCTCCTCTGAGACTTTGCTGACTTAATTAATTGGGGAAAGCCTTTGCAAAATAAATAGAGATAAGCTTTGGCAAACCTCCAGACCTGGAGCGGGATGAATAGCTAACCTTGCGCTCGTTACTGCTCCCACCTCCGCGGCTGCCCAGCTCTGTCTCTGCGAGCCCGCTGCAGGGGACCACTACTGCTTGATCCTGAGGTGGGATTCAGATTTGCTGCCTCATTTAGGGGCAAGTCTAACTAAGGCTCCTGCAGAAAGGGAAGGGAACTCGGCTCTCCCAGAGGACAGGTCGAAGTACCTAATTTGGGTTCTGACCTGCAGGCCCTACCAGGGAGGCTTTTCAGCAGCTCACAGGCTACATCGGCAGCTTCTTCCATGGGCTCTCAGGGGGTGTCACCAGCCCTGGCGATAAGTAAGCAAGTTTTAGAGGAGTTTGATGGCGTCCCCAGCACAAATTCAGACTATTCCAACTACACATCTGGTTCTGTGCATGGCCACGTCTTCATAAGGAACAGAAATGACATAAATACAATGGGACACACGCAGCATCGCTTCCACGTGTGTAATTCAGGTGAACCAAAGGAGAGCGTGTGTGTGCTCAAGATGACTGGGTGCTGTAAAAGCATGGGAAACGGGGAGACCTGGCAGGGCACAGTTAATCCAGGCATCTGGTCTGTGTCATGCTCAGCGCTGCTTTTCAACCAAGCTCTTGCAGATCCAACTCACGGGAAACCAGTCCCCAAAGCAAACCCCTCACACTGTGGCATTTATTGGATACGACCCTGAGAGCAATCGCAGCCTGACGAGCAGCCTGTAACTCTCGTCTGACCCTGTGCCGCTGCACGTGAGATGCTCCGTGCGCCAGGCAGGGCCGGAGAGTCGCTCGCCCCGTGCAGTCAGCAGCAAAACCCCACTTCTGCTCTGCGTCGGCTGCGAAGTGACACGCAGCCCAGCCAGAGCTCTCACCCCTGCCAGGTTTGACTGATTTTGTCTAAATGTTCCTTTGCTCAGCATCAACCTGTTTGTTCCCGTGGTAATCATCTCCCCTCGCAATGCCTTCGGGAATGTGCCCTTACCTCTGGAAAACTGGTCATGTTGACTATAATAAGCTGCGGTGACTTCTGCGAGATCTGCGCCAGCTGGTTCAGCGGAAACTTCCCATCTTTTGTCATCACGATTATGTGATCAAGGGCCCCTCAAAAGAACCACACAGGGGAGTTTCAGTATGATACAGCAGTTCACAGTGATGCTGAAGAAAAACGCGTACGCGGTGTCCCACTTCCCTTCTGGTATGCAAAATATAGATGTTACAAAAGAAAAAACCCATGTTTATTCAGATTTCAGGTGCTGTTTGTGTTCATGTGTCCCCTGGGATATTTGCAAGCTAAATATTTCAATGCTACTCTAAAGCACAAAAACATGAAAACAAAACTCTTGTTTGTTTTTGTTACTAGAATGGGAAAACTAAGCAAGACTTTTAAGAATTAAAAGGAAATCGTTACTTTTTAATTCTCAGAACTTAAAGAAAATCAAAACATTGTTATAAAAATCAGGACAACTATTTCCTTTAACTTAGCAGTGTTCTCTTAAGCCCCTCATTTTTTTTTCCAAGTCCCACGAGGAGGTGGTGTACACTGCCTAATTTAAAGTATTCAGTTTCTCCCTGAGCTACTCTTAATCTGCTCTCTAGTTTCTACTGCAAAATGTTAACAGGCCAAAAGGCACATGGGACAAGAGGTACTTTATCAGTGCAATTAAAAAAAAATACCTATGGTTAAAATAAATAGTTAAGAGACTGAGCTACACTTTCCAATGCCATTAAAGACTGAAGTGCCCTTGCCAGAGCTGGGGTGGTGAATGATTCAAATTTGGTCATTGTTTAATGTTAAATTTTATCCCTGAAACTTGATACTACTTACAAATACGTATGTTCAGTGTTATAGTAACTGTAGCTTAGTCAAATATATTTACATTTCTTCTTAAAACACAAAATTCACTAAGTGAACAGGGCTTGTAAAGGCCACTAACCACAAAGATGCACAGCAAAAGAAGTTTGTATATGCCAGACACCAGCCTGATGGCAATTTCCAAAAGGCTAATTTAATGGCAATTGGATTTTTCTGCCCTACTGCACCATTAGCTGACAACCTGCTTCTTCATCACATCTGCAAACAGTTCAGTTAGACACTTTTGACATCTCCCACTTACAAAAACTATTTCCAGGAAGCTATTAACAAAAACAGATTCTTCCTGGTCAAGCTCAGGGTGAAGAAACCCTTCAGTTGGGGACGTCAAGGTTGTAGTAACTGGGTGCCCAGTGAATAACTCAATAAAAAGAAAATAAATTTTGAAAAAATCAGAGTTCTCTGTTACTGGGACTGGTATCCTTATTTACAGGCAATAGAGCATCATACAAGAAAGTTACCAACCTGGTGAGGTTCTAACACTGAGATTTCTGCTGAAATCTTCTTTCAGAGCTTCCACCACTGCCTGCATGTCTTCATTGGTTTCCTCCAAATTGATAATATCCTCAACTAGGGCGGCACTGATATTCACTCTGGCTTGACTCTGCCCTTTACCTTTAGCTGCAGATTACACAGAAAATTAATTTCTATTTCTGACAACAGTTAGTTGTTGCATTACAAATTAGAAAGAAGGTATCAAAACCCCTGTTAGATTCAGGATTGAGTCTAAGATAAACCGAGGTAACTGTATTTTTTAATGAGTCAGTAGCCCAGCACTTGAGCACATAAGCCAAGATGTATTTGTAGGTCACGCTGTGTGCACTGACTCCAGCCCGGGCTGTGACGATTGCGCCCTACGGCCGCAGCGCAGCAGCAGCTCCGTGTGGTACCTCTCCCCTGGGAAGGGCTAACTGTACACTGCCACAGCGTCAGGCAAGCCAGCTCCTCAGAGCTGTGCTCTGCCTACGTTAGATCAATACTGGTACATAGGATAAAAGGGAGAAGAAAAGAAATCCTGGCAACAGGATGCTGGCAACCACCTGAGGGTGCTGAAACACAGGAACGGGTTGCCCAGAGAGGTGGGAGATGCCCCATCCTTGGAAACATTCAAGGCCAGGCTGGATGGGGCTCTGAGCAACCCAATCTGGTTGAAGATGCCGCTGCCATTGCAGGGGGGTCGGCCTAGATGGCCTTTAAAGGTCCCTTCCATCCCAAAGCATTCTGTGATTCTACACACTGAGAAAAACACTAGGAAAAAGGCTGCTGCCTGTACCTTTTTTGGTAGCTAGCTGTCTGCTCAGCAGCGTCCGATGGACACGCTGCCTGCAGCCATCCAGGAGCAGGGCCAGGCAGCCTGCAGGAGCCTGCGGCAGCCCCCGCACCACTGCGAACGAAGGGCGATAAAGCAGGGAAGGCAGGTGGCGGAAGCACCTCAGCGCCATAGCCATCGTTTACAGCTCTTCTCTAATTCACCTGGAAAAGAGAAAAGGCAGGTGGTCCACTCGGCGTGCTAAAAAGAAACAGATTGAGGTCTCAGCTGCACCTCTCGGTGCAAGGCGACAGCTCAGCAACGCGGGGCAGCGGGGCCTGGGCGTGCTGCAGTGACGACGGGCAAAGGCAGCGGACGGGGTCGGTGGCAGCCAGCCCGTGTCTGCACGTCTGTCCAGAGGGGCACGGGCCTGGGACGCAAAGGCCACGTCTGCCAAGCAGGAACTGCTCGTCAAAGCGTCTGGTATTTGCGTGTCAGATGAGCAGAAACTTTTAATTTCTGTCCCAGGAGGTTCGCGGCCCCAGACGTCCCAGTCTCCCCCGGAATCACAGGATTTATTTCAGCCCGGGCTGCTCGGGGCTCTGGGGCGTTACCGCGGGCTGCGGCTCTGCTGTGCTCAGAGCTACAGGAACGCGGGCGGGAAGCGGGGACCCCCGGAGCAGGGCGCGATCTCTGCGGGAGCCGGGAAACTGACGGTGACGGCCAGCGGGGGACCGGCCT